CCGTAGACATAATACTATTAGGCAATTACTCTCAACTGGAGTTATCACTATTGATTATGTGAGATTAAAGGATAATTTAGCGGATTCGCTAACCAAAGGGTTAAACAGAGATTTAGTTGAGAAGTTGGCTAAAGGAATGAGACAACCCCATGGGTAAATAAGTTCTTGTAAAGGAAACCCAACCTAGTTAACTAGAGATCCCAAGATCTAGGTTCAAAGGGAGAACCTAGTTATAAGGACTTGATGTAGTCACTGTGGGGGGATAACCCCAACCTATTCCTATATTGAAACAGTGATGTGAAGTGATTAGGCTAGCAATGTGTTGCTTTAATGATTCTTAAGTTGAGATTTAAGTAAATCACCTATGTAAGAGTGAAGTGCGGCCGCTTCAATAGAGAATTGTAAGGGCTTAATTATCTGAAACTCTCGCAGAACCAAATAGATGTTCATGGCCAAAACGAACATAATCATGAGAACCAAACAATGAGAGATTGATATCTGTGTGAAATATATGGCTCTTTACAAGAGAAATTGGGACAGTTCAAGGACATCACGTCTACTGGACATTCCCTTGTGAAATACACTTACTTTACTAGTTGTCCAGTAGACATGATGTCCTTGAACTGTCAAACGAACATAATCATGAGAACCAAACAATGAGAGATTGATATCTGTGTGAAATATATGGCTCTTTACAAGAGAAATTGGGACAGTTCAAGGACATCACGTCTACTGGACATTCCCTTGTGAAATACACTTACTTTACTAGTTGTCCAGTAGACATGATGTCCTTGAACTGTCCCAATTTCTCTTATAAAGAGCCATATATTTCACACAGATATCAATCTCTCATTGTTTGGTTCTCATGATTATGTTCGTTTTGGTCATGAACATCTATTTGATTCTGCGAGAGTTTTAGAGAATTAAGCCCTTACAATTCTCTATTGAAGCGGCCCCCCTTCACTCTTACATAGGTGATTTACTTAAGTCTCAACTTAAGAATCATTAAAGCAACACATTGCTAGCCTAATCACTTCACATCACTGTTTTAATATAGGAATAGGTTGGGGTTATCCCCCCACAGTGACTACATCAAGTCCTTATAACTAGGTTCTCCCTTTGAACCTAGATTTTGGGATCTCTAGTTAATTAGGTTGAGTTTCCTTTACAAGAATTTATTTACCCATGGGGTTTAGTCTCATTTCTTTAGCCAATTTCTCAACTAAATCTCTGTTTAACCCTTTGGTTAACGGATCTGCTCTCACATAATCAATAGTGATAACTCCAGTTGAGAGTAGTTGCCTAATGGTATTATGTCTACGGTATATGTCTAGACTTGTCATTATACATATCACTCTGTGTTCTTCCAATTGCAGACTGACTATCACAATGAATACAAATTGGAGGCACAGGTTTCTCCCATTTTGGAATGCCCTCTAAGAAATGATGTAACCATTCGGCTTCTTCTCCACATTTATCCAAAGCTATAAATTCGGATTTCATAGTGGATCTAGCTATAACTATTTGTTTCGAGGACTTCCAGGATATAGCAGCTCCAGCCAATGTAAACACATATTCACTTGTGGATTTTGTGTCTTTTATATCAGAAATCCAATTTGCATCGTTGTATCCTTCTAGGACTGCAGGATATCTTGTATAATACAATCCATAATTCTAAGTATATCGTAAGTATCTCAGTACTCTTACGATTGCTTTCCAATGATCAGCACTCGGGTTACTAGTAAATCTGCTGAGTTTACTGACCATATAAGCTATATCAGGTCTTGTACAGCTCATTAGATACATTAGACTTCCAATAATTCTTGAGTATTCTATTTGGGAAATACCCTCTTCTTTATTTTTAGCTAGATGGAGACTAGTGTCTAATGGCGTTCTGACAACTCCAGTGTCATCATTGTTAAAATTTTCAAGGATTTTGTCCACATAATGAGACTGGTTCAAAATAAGACCTTGTGATGTTCTTATGATTTTTAGTTCCTAAAATAACATCAGCAAGTCCTATATTTTCATGTCAAATTTTGAATTTAACATGTTCTTGGTAGATTTTGTCATCACTACCAACAATGAGTATGTCATCAACGTAAAGACATAATGACATATCCTTTTTTTTGTTTCCTTAGCGTAGACACATTTGTCACACTCGTTGATTATATATTCGTTGGTAATCATTGTATGATCAAACTTTTCATGCCACTTCTTTGGGGCTTGTTTTAGACCATATAATGATTTAACCAATTTGCAGACTTTCTTTTCCTTCCCAGGAACTACAAAGCCCTTAGGTTGTTCCATGTAGATTTCTTCATCTAAATCTCCATTTAAGAAAGTTGTCTTTACATCCATTTGATGTACTTTTAGATTCCTCAACGCAGTGATTGCAAGAATCATTCTAATGGAATTTATTCTCATCACAGGAGAATAAGTATCAAAATAATCTAAGCATTCTTGTTGCTTGTATCCTTTGATTACAAGTCTGGCTTTATACTTGTCAATAGTGCGATCAAGTTTCATTTTCCTTTTAAAGATCCATTTGGACCCTAAAGGCTTACAACCAGGAGGAAGATCCATTAACTCTCAAGTGTGATTCTGGAAAATAGATTCTTTCTCACTTTGAATTGCTTCTTTTCAAAAATGTCCGTCGGAAGAATTCATGGCCTCAGTATAAGTTTGAGGATCTTTTTTTAGCAAGTAAGTTAGAAAATCATCACCAAATGATTTTTCTACTCTTGCTCTTTTACTTTATCTCGGTTCATTTTCTTGAGCCAAATCTTAACTTTCATCTTGATTCATAATATCATATATTTGCTTTGAAGTGCTTGCTTCATGATTGGATTTACAAGGAAAGATATTTTCAAAGAAAGATGCATTCCTTGATTCCATTATCGTATTCTTGTGTATATCCGGATTTTTCGAATCATGCACAAGGAATCGATACGCGTTGCTGTTATGAGCATAGCCTATGAAGATACAGTCCACCGTTTTAGGACCTATCTTTTTTTTCTTTAGTGTTGGAACTGCTACTTTGGTAAGACACCCCCACACTCGCAAGTATCTGTAGGATGGTTTCCTACCCTTCCATAACTCATAAGGAGTTTTATCTTGTTTCTTTCGGGTTATCCTATTTAAAAGGTAATTGCTTGTCAAAATAGCTTCACCCCACATATTTTGAGGTAGCCCAGAACTTATAAGCATCGCATTCATCATTTTTTTAATGTGCGATTTTTGCGTTCAACAACACCATTTGCTTGAGGTGAATAGAATGGAGTTACTTCATGTATGATTTCATGCTGAGCACAAAAATCACAAATTGGTGTTTCATATTCTCCACCTCTATCACTTCTTAATCTTTTTATTCTCTTATTAAGCTGATTTTCAACTTCTTTCTTAAAGAGAATAAATTTCTCTAAGGCTTCATCTTTGCTCTTTAACAAGTACACAACAATATTTTGTGCAATCATCAATAAAGGTAATAAAATATTTATTACCACCCTTGTTTGCATAAACTTAGGAATCGATTCGAGGGGTTCAGTATTCCTTTCAATTGTTTGGAAAGATGATCTCGTTAGTTTTGCTTCCACACACACTTCGCATTTGTGTTTGGAATTAATTTGGAAAGAGGGAATATGGTCTAAGTTAATTAGCCTAGCATTGTTTCATAATTAACATGACCAAGCCTAGCATGCCATAAATCAGATGACTCAATCAAGTAAACGGAAGAATAAGCATTTTCATTAATCTTCTTTTTTCACAGTCATTACATTATGCTTAAAAAAGCCCATTTGTGGCATACCCTCTTCCCACATACACCCTATTTTTGGTAAGAGTCATTTTATCAGACTCGAACACCATGCGGAAGCCATGTTTGATGAGCAGAGACTCAGACACCAGATTTTTGTGAATATCCGGCAATACATCACATCAGTCAGGGTCACAACTTTGTTGGATGTTATTTTCAGCATCACCTTCCCTTGCCCCTCGATGGCTGATGAGGCAGAGTTTCCCATGAATATCTTCTCACCTTCAATTGTAGTGAAGGTGGTGAACAGATCTCTGTTGGTGCAGACATGTCTCGTAGCACATGTGTCAATCCACCATTCTTTTGGGTTGGATCCCACCATGTTGACCTCAGATATCACAACCATGAGTTCGAGATCATCCTTGACTGCATCCTTAGTCACGTTGACCTCTTTCTTCTTTGGAAGCCTGCACTCGGTCAATTTATGGCCCATCTTGTCACAATTGAAGCACTTGCCCCCAATTTTCTTCTTGGAGATTCCTCCTTTGGTTCCCAGTTTTGGGTTTGCAACACTTGCAACCACTTTCTTTCCTTTGGCTTTGAAGCTTTGACCATGCTCCACCACATTAGCCTTGACGGTCATATGCTCAGATGCCTTTCCCTCGGATCGGTGGTTCTCCTCAATTCGGAGCTTCCCCAATCATATCCTCCATTGTCACCTCCTTGCGCTTGTGTTTGAGATAGTTTTTGAAGTCCTTCCATGCAGGGGGTAGCTTCTCGATCATGGCAGCTACTTAGAAGGTCTCACTTAGTATCATCCCTTCGGCTTGAATCTCGTGCAGAATCACTAGACCGAAAGTACAAAACCGAAGATGCCGACACAAAGAAATCAAGATGCTTATGGGAACTCCAGATGAAGTAAACCCTGGGACATTCTTTATCTAGATTCTTCAAATACAGTCAGTTCTGGAACATTCCTCTAGGTAGTTTGATAACTTTTCTGTTTGGTAAATGCTTCTGCAATGTGTCATTTAGTCGGAGTGATGAAATCAAGATGCACTGTCCTATTTTTCTGCAGGATAGATTTGTATTATGTGAACATATGTGTTAACTATTTTCTTGTGATTAACCTTTTTTCATCTTTTTTTTAACTCTTTTTATCTCACTTCTAAGTTAATTTTTTATTAAAGAAATGAATTCAAGATATTCTGACTCTGGTACTAATTACATATATTTGGACTTTTAGATTCGGCAGAATGACCGTCTGGCCGTGAGCAAGCTTGTCACCAGCTTGACAAGAGGAACAGTTCGCTCACCTTTAGCTCAGTGCCTCTTGATTAGATATGCAACCCAGGTGATTCGCTAAACATGTTTATGATAAAGAATGATTAGAAACTAAGGGTTTTTCAGCAGGTGATTCGAGAGTCTAGCATGAATACACAAACAGGGGATCGCCCCTTTTTTGATTTTCTTGAAGCCTGCCTACGTCATAAAACAGATATGGTGATACTTGAAGCTGCTAGGGCAATCACAGAGCTGAATGGTGTGACCAGTAGAGAACTCATTCCTGCAATTACAATTCTACAATTATTTTTGAGCTCCTCCAAACCTGTGCTTCGGTTTGCTGCTGTTCGCACGCTAAATAAGGTTAGTGTTGTTTTTTATTATATTGGTACCTATAGTTCGCGACTGGCTAAATATACATCTGTTACTTGAGAGTCAGGAGAGTTGTTATTCAGCATATAGTTTTCTAAAACCATCTCTAATTTCCCAGGTGGCAATGACACATCCCTTGGCAGTTACAAATTGCAATGTTGATATGGAGAGCTTAATATCTGACCAAAACCGCAGCATTGCTACTCTTGCCATTACTACTCTTCTCAAGACAGGAAATGAATCTAGTGTAGATCGCTTGATGAAACAAATCACCAACTTTATGTCAGATATTGCAGACGAGTTTAAAATTGTTGTCGTGGAAGCTATAAGATCTTTGTGCCTGAAATTTCCTCTCAAGTATCGGTCAATGTGAGTAGAACCAACAACTCATTGAGAAACATTTTGGACTTCATGGTAATATCAGAGAATCTTGGATTTCTTGTTAGATAATGTCTTACTACTTAAAACATGTAATTTCAAATTTTTCTATTTGTAATGAAACTTGTATCTTTCCCTGAATGAAACTAATTGTACTCTTATGTAACTGATCAGGATGAACTTCTTGAGTAACATTCTTAGGGAAGAAGGTGGTTTTGAATATAAGAAAGCAATTGTTGATTCCATAGTCATCCTTATCAGAGAAATACCAGATGCTAAAGAAAGTGGCTTATTTCATCTCTGTGAGTTCATTGAAGATTGTGAATTCACTTACCTTTCAACTCAGGTAATCATTCATGAGATTTCATTCAATTGAACTACCTTGCTCAATTATATTAGTTATCTTTTGCACTAGGAATTTTTGAAATCATTCTAAGATTATATACATCAGAAATTTTGTATTTGGTTTATGTTTCTAAAGTTTCTCATTCAGATTATTTCAGTTTGCGAGGCTGTAACTTTCTAGGCAGACTCTATTTAGAATCTTCCAAATTTCTCTTTTTATAGTGGTATGCGGACACAGACTTCTAGGGATTATAATATAAACTTCACTTTTTGTTTGAATTGATGCAAAAAGTATCAATAGTCCATGTGTGTCAGCGCATGTCTGATCCAATCACGTTATATACTTGCTTATATTTGACATGTTTGGAATTCACCTATCGTTTCTTGAACAATGGTCAATTCATGGGTCTAAATTCTGGGTTTAGATTTGTAAAAGTTCGTAGCTGGGTGAGACATGTTTAACTGAAGTCTTCATGACCTACTTGTAGGCAGTGACGGATCCAGATGTTTTTGTTGGGAGGGGGTGTGGGGGGTTGATTTACCTACCAATAAAATTATTAATTATAAAAATATAATACCTGATGCAAATGCACTCAATATACTTTATCGGCTGCATAGCATCATCTTTTGCCTGCAATGTGATAGATAAACAAACAAGAGTATTTTCAATCATGATTTACTTTCATTAATGAAATAAAAAATGTATACATACTTGCTAGTTTAAATACTCCACAAAATCCAACATTGTGATCGCAAAATTCTAAACATATTTGTTATGTAATATAAACAAATGTGTCTCTGTGTGTATCCATAAAACAAACACTTGATGTGCATCATCAAGTAATTGTTAAAATATTTTCTTGTAAGTATATAATATCAAAAGAAATAAGGGGCGTGCTGATAATTAGCTTTACAACAGAATAGAGAAAGAATATTAAAGATTATCATGTTCACTCCATTGCTTCGCTTTGTACTCGGTTGTAAATTCTCAAAGGTTTTTTAAAAAGGATTAGTTGATGGTTGCTCTTGCTCCATTCGGGTCTTTCTTTTGATGAAGTTATCCATAACTAAAAAATCAGCAATTCTATTTACCCAATGATAAATTTTACAACATCCAAGTACAATTCTATTTACTCAGTGATAAGTTTTACAACATCTAAGTACAATTCTATTTGCTCAATGACTAATTTACATGACTCATAGTCTCAATATAAAGTGCATTGTCAAATGAAATAATGAAGTCTAATCTTATGGAATAATGAATCAAGAAACACAACTAAACAATATTTGTATTTCCATGTAAATGAATACATCAGTACTACTAAAGGAGATTAAACATATTGATCAATGAATACCCTCCTGAGGTATTGCCCATAACAGTGCACAAAAAATTTGTCATACTAAAGCAAACACAGGAGTTTTTATGATAACAAAACACTGAAAGCAGAAGAACATTACTATTGTGTAATTGTAGATGTAAGTGATCTTCATGGACAAAATTAAACTAAGAATATCACTTACTAGAGACTAAAGAGGGTATTAACTATTTGTAGGTGATATTTACAGATTAACCACTGCTCAAGAAAAAGGTTAATGTAAACTATTTCCTTCCTCCTACTGAACTTTGCATAAACTATTTTTTTTAATCCACAATTCATGAAAGGGATAAAATGAAAAACAGAGACCAATGCATAAACAATTTTTTTTTTGATAAAATAGCAACAATATATTCAAAGCATCATCATCCCTAAACTATTTAAGGAAACAAAAAAAATTCGGTAAGTCGCTCGCCTGTCGCGGTAGTGCCCACAGCCGGAAGAGAAGAAAAGAAAGTAAGAGGGGGTTGGAGGTCGTCGGGTCAACGGCATGGCGACGGGACACACGGTGATGGGAGAAGCGGTAGCAACCCAGGTTAGAGGTCTGGAGGTTGTCGGGTCAGCGGCGTAGCGAGGGGATACACGGTGATAGGTGAAGCGGTAGCAACCTATGGACTAGGGTTTGAGTCGTGTTTGTTGGGAATTGGGATCGGGCATCGGAGGATTTAGAGAGATAACAAATCAAGTTTTTACTTTTCTTAATGGGTTTTGGGTTAATGTATGTGTGGGCTTTTGGGTTTGAGTTAGTGTTTGGGCTTGGGCCTATTAAATTTCACATGAGTTATCTAATGGACTATAGGACAAATTTGGGGATGTAAATTATTTTTTATTACTTCTTTTGTTGGGGGTGGGGGGTGGGGGCAAAGTTTAAATTTTACGGGGGTATAATCATTGTTTTAAATATCCCCGACATGGCCCGATATATCCCTCGATATATCCTTTTACAGGGCTTGCCGCAACCGATATGGTCTTTAAATATCCTTTACCGCTTTTTGGCTATTTTGAGTGATAAATCCCCGATATGACCGATATATTAGCTGATATGTGGACCAATATATCTTTTTATATAGCTTGTTGTAAAATAATATACCGTGTTTGGAATTTTTGGGCGAGATCAAGATTTTCCCATTATATCAAAATGACATTTTGCCCTAAAAAAAGCAGATCAAATGTTGCAACATTGCTTTGCACTTTAGTTTGTTTTAGAAAGTTGATTAGTGATCTTAAACATATATTATTCATATTTTGTATGCTTAAATTTCATTACATATGTTGAGATTATATTTTAATGCATTCATATTTTGTATGCTTAAATTTCATTACATATGTTGAGATTATATTTTAATGCATTATACTATGTATGCAAACATTCATTATGGCATTCCGATATTTACCACATATCCCCGATATCCGCAATCCGATATGAATTTTGGCCATCCGATATTTACCCGATATCCGATATTTAAAACCTTGGGTATAATGATAAAAATCAAAACTTCAAGGGTGCAGCTGCCCACCCCGCTCACCACGTAAACCCGCCCCTGCTTTTAGTGTTGTATATTCGTGATAAACATAGATCAAATCAGATATTTTATGGAAACATATGTGCTTTGGCAAATTTCATGCTTACATTTGTATCTTCACCAATACGTCCCATGTTTTTCTTTATCTTGTTTTTATATTAATGTCAAAGAATGTTGAAGATCCCTTTGAGAAGATCTAATACAACTATTGAGGGGTTTTCATGTTAAAGATGTTCAGGTTTTCTCAGTTTACTTGATGTTTTTGAGTTTCTACTGATGTTAATTTGAACCATACTGTTAAGGATAGACTTGCATGGTGATAGTGGATGACTCTTTTGTTTTATGATATTCCAGATACTTCACTTTCTGGGGAATGAAGGGCCAAAGACATCAGACCCTAGTAAGTATATAAGGTACATCTATAATCGGGTTATACTTGAGAATTCAACCATACGAGCCTCTGCAGTGAGTACCTTGGCAAAGTTTGGTGCCTTGGTTGATCCATTGAAGGTATTGAAAATACCACTTAAACAAGATTATTTATGCTATTACTGTGTAAATTATTTTTCTGATGTTGAAATTTTGGATTTTTTTCAGCCTCGCATATTTGTCCTTCTAAGACGCTGCCTATTTGATATTGACGATGAGGTGAGATATGCATTGGGTTATGCATTTTTTTGTTTAATAATTTTGGAGTAAGGTGTGAATTTGTCTCATTATCCAGATTAGCAGTTGCAAATTTCCTGTCCTCATCTTGCTAGAATCTATTTTATACGTTTGAATTGTCTCATTATCCAGATTTAGCACTTAAATTTCCCTATCCTCATCTTGCTAGGTGTATCAGTAATTCAAATGCTGTATCTTCTGTATATCAGGGTTTGGCAACCAATAAGAATGTTTGTTTAATATCTCGTCAGTGTGGCCTCTCTCTGAACACCCCCGACCATTGGTTTGAGAGTTCTAGTTAATATGACCTAAGCCCGTGGGTGTTGAGGCCATCATGTCTTAAGGCTTATTATTTCAACGTGAAAATGAAAAATGCCACCCTTTTTTCCCCCTTTCTTTACCTTCTGTCTTCCATGCAGGTTCGTGATCGTGCAACACTTTATCTCAGTACACTGGGTGGTGATGGTTCAGTTACTGGAACTGTAAAAGATGTTAAAGAGTTCCTATTCGGCTCATTGGATGTGCCACTGGTTAACTTGGAGAAAAGTTTGTGCAACTATGTATGTGTTTAAATTGAAGTCATGATATTTGCAATAGTGCTACCCTTTACATCTGTTTAACGGCATTAACAGGAGGCTTCTGAAGAACCTTTTGATATTTGTGCGGTTCCCCGGGAAGTCAAGTCACAGCCTCTTGCTGAGAAAAAGGCTCCAGGGAAAAAGCCTTCTGGTTTTGGTGCACCTCTCAGTGCTCCAACATCGGCTGCTGATGCATATGAGAAGATGCTTTCTTCCATTCCTGAATTTTCAAGCTTTGGAAAATTATTCAAGGTTCTTCCTTTGTGCCTCTGACAATAATGTAACTCAAAGCTCTTGACAGCATCATGTTTTAATTTTTTTTTTCAGTCATCTGCTCCTGTGGAGTTGACCGAAGCTGAAACTGAATATGCGGTTAATGTAGTCAAGCACATTTATGATGAGCATATTGTATTCCAGTACAACTGTACAAACACCATACCTGAGCAGCTATTGGAAAATAGTTTTGGTGCTCCTCCCACTGTTCCAACAGCTGCTGTCGATGCATATGAGAAGTTGCTTTCATCCATTCCTGAATTCTCCAGCTTTGGGAAACTATTCAAGGTTATGCCTCTAGCAATAGCGTAACTCGTCTTCTTGGCAAACATACATCTTATTTTAAATTTCCCCTCCTTTTCAGTCATCTTCGCCTGTAGAGTTGACAGAAGCTGAAACTGAATACGCGGTTAATGTCATCAAGCATATTTATGATGAGCATGTTGTATTCCAGTACAACTGTACTAACACCATACCTGAGCAGCTACTGGAAAATGTAAGTAGCAGTCTATGGGAGTAGCACCTGTTATTATTATGTAAAACCTGTTGCTATCTTTAAAATTTGGAATTGCTTCCAGGTCACCATTTTTATTGATGCTTCTGATGCTGAGGAATTTTCAGAAGTTGCATCGAAACCTTTAAGGACTCTACCTTATGATTCACCAGGCCAGACTTTTGTGGCTTTTGAGAAACCAGCTGGAGTCCCAACTGTCGGAAAATTCTCAAACATGTTAAAGTTCATTGTTAGAGAGGTACTTTTGATAGTATATCTTTATGCTGATTTGAAACTTACATTATTCTCCTGTATTAATCTAGGCGCCCCAATACCTACTGTTTGTAATATTTCATTATTGTTAAGGGAACTAGGTGTATGCTATAATAGGTGCTACATAGTTCGAGTCATAAAGGACGTAACTATATCACAGGAGATTTTGATTTGTTTTGATTGTCCGTGCCTGAATACATGCCAAGTGTTGGTTGTTATGGTTATTTGTCGTAGTGCTTTTACTTCTTCAAGGCAGGTGTTGGGTATAACTAATAGCCCTTTCTCAAACCTCTAAACAGGTCCACTATAGACATGTAAAACCCTTTTTTTTGTAGGTGAAAGTCCTGTGATGATGCCCATTAGCAAAGTTACTCATTGCATCCGAATTTACGGTGGAGATTCTTTCTGTTTTGCTGGATATTTGTATAGGTAGTACAGTGATATTGTTCAGGAGAACTATTATAATTTCAGATTCTTATTGAATTCTTTTTTATGTATTTCCTTTGCCATTCAGTACCATCACTTTGGCTAAAAATGCATGACCAGCCTTTTCTGTTTCTGCCCCTTGGCTTGTAGCAGCATCTTCTGGCATTAACATAATGCATCTGTACATCTTTTATTATCCCGTTATAATCTTGTTATAGGTTTACCAATATATTTATGATATGATGGTGATGCACATTTTGTCTTTGCTATCAATGGATTATCTTTTTTTTCATCCCACTATAATCTTGTTATAGGTTTACCAATATGTTTATGTGATGGCATTTTATGTTGATATCAATGGTTATTTTACCTTCCAACAGGTAGATCCATCTACCGGGGAAGCGGAGGATGAGGGTGTCGAAGATGAATATCAGCTAGAAGATTTTGAAGTAATGGCTTCAGATTACATGCTAAAAGTGGGAGTATCCAATTTCAAGAATGCCTGGGACAACATGAATCCCGAGGGTGAGCGTGTTGATGAGTACGGGCTCGGTACACGGGAGAGCTTGGCTGAGGCTGTGAATGCTGTCGTTAACATTCTCGGCATGCAGCCCTGCGAGGTTAGTTGCTTCGTTTAGTTTATAGATAGTTACAATATCAGCAGATCTTAACCAAATATTTGGAACCAAAGTTAGTGGTTTTTGTTCTTTAGAATCTACTGGAGAATTCCAATCTTAGTAAAACTGGGTTGGAATTAAGATTCGTGCTGATTGCAGAATATGCGTACCAAATTACAGCATATTGTTCCTTGACCGATTATAGATTTGCTTTAAATGGGAGCATGTAAGGCTTGAAAATATTTGGAATTTGCTTTAAATGGGAGCATGTAAGGCTTGGAATTAGAGTGCCTCATAGCATTTTCAAAGTTATGAAGATTATTTTGGTTCAGTCATAATTGTTGCTGTATTAGTGACATTTGTTTGTTTCTTGGCAGGGAACTGAGGTGGTGCCAAGCAATGCGAGGTCGCACACTTGCCTATTGTCTGGAGTCTTTATAGGCAATGTGAAAGTGCTCGTCAGACTATCATTTGGGATCGATGGGCCTAAGCAAGTTGCTATGAAGCTTGCTGTCAGATCCGATGACCCAGCAGTCAGTGAGGCGATCCATGAAATTGTTAATGGCTAAGGTTTTGATGCTGTTGTCCTTTCGCGAATGCAAGTGGAGGATTTTGTTCAGCTCGGAGCTTAAGGCTACCTATACATATTGACAGAGAAAGTTCCAGTTTACGATACAGATTAGGTTTGAGATTTTTTCTTTAAATTTGGAAAACATTTTTTGTTCTTTCGTATCCATAAGTTGCCATTCCGTGTTGAAAGAAGGAGAAAAGCTTTAGCTAGCGAACGTCGTAAAAGTCTGCGCTCAGCATACAACCTCACATCATAGTATCAACAAATTCTCGTTTTATAACATGAGGTAGTTTTCATTGTATTTTTTCCCCCTTGTATCTTTTATTTTGAAGCCCTTCGATAGCGGTTTCGAATCATCAGCACATGCTCTGTTGGTTTGTTACACGTGTTTGAATCTTGTCAATCCGAACAGAATAATAATGACATCACGCAATCCTTCAAGAAATTTTAGAGAGGCGTGTCTGAGTCCAAATCCATATTGAAGGTTTGACGCCTAAATAATGTTTCGTTTCTTCGAATACTTCGAATTCAGAAACTGGATTGTGATGCACGTTATCTTCGCAAAATATGAGCTCCGTCCATCAGAGATACAAACGGCCGCTGTGCAGGCCAAACAAGCCTTCAATAGCAGGCATAGGATGCTTGGACCTGGAAAATTCCAAGGACTACCGCGTTTAAACCCATCAAATTCCTCGTCGCGGCATCTTCGATGCCATCATTACATTACCACAATGAAATACTCGCAACTAGAGACCTTCAACAAACCAACCAAGTCAGGGGGGGCTACGCACGCGGGTACTCAATTGTCTTCTAACACCCCCGTTGGGATCCTAAAAACGCATTCGAAGCGCCAGAACCCCCACCGCACGATTTCGCTTCCAAGACAAAATTACCGAGCGACCCCAGTTACTATCCAAACCCCAGTCGATCCGAGCCCTCCATCGCCCCCAACGGTAGGAAACACGAACTTGCGGCAAGAACAAGTTTAGAATTTTACCGGGGCCTTTTTTTTTTTTTTTTTTTGTGGGACGGTGATAGATGCCCTCACCCCTATGCGAGCGTAGTAGGTTCCGGTTGGTATCGAAACGCCGAGATCTGTTGGGGACTGCGGTCGCTACGGCGCCGAAATTAATAACGAAATGCGAAATAATGGGGGGTTTTGAGGGTAAATTTCACAAAGTACTCGTAATTTGGCTCGCTGGAGAAAAAGGCTAAAATATCACGAAGCCTCCTTTTTAATTTTAATATTTTATCAAATTAGGGTGCCTCTCTGATAAAAATTAACAGTAGACTTTCTTATAAAATATGAAAGTTAAAAAGGAGAGTTTTGCGACAATCGCTGCTTAAGGGGAATTTTCTGATATTTTAAAAGTTAAGAGGGGGTTTCTGTTAATCATCCAAAGGTACCCGAGAGAAAATTACCACGAACTTTCAAAAATGTCAACAAAAAAAAATCATGAATAATTGCAAATTTTTGCTAATCATGAAAGCTTTGAGAAATTTCCACTTCAATTTTAACTCGTTGGAGAGAGGCAAAAGACCTGGAGAGATCGTTGCCGGCGGAGAGAGGAGAGGCGCGAGAAGGCGACTCGGCGTTCTCGGAGAGCTTCTTGATCTTGAGAAGAGGGTGGTTTCCTGCGCCGCCGCCACCGCCGCCATTGATGACGTCAGGAGTGTTGTTTGGTGCCCCCATTTTGATTTTTGAGGAGAACCGGGGAGGGGGTTTTGGAGTGTTTTAGAGGGCCAAAGGGCGGGAAATTGCTGGCGGGAAGTGTTCCCGCCAAAAAAACTAGGCATAATTGGAAAGGAAGAGTTCACGGTGAAATTCATTTTAGTTTGTTTGTAGCTAGGTAACTTTCACTTACAACCACCCCCCACCCCGACCTAGCATTTAACCCCTCTCAACTAATCTGTTACCACTTGACACTCTTGGATTGTCATTTTTAGACGGTAAGGATCCTATCAGAACTGTCCCCGTAGAAGTGGAGTGATTTACGCCATTGATTTAATAGCTACAATTACAAAACTAAGTCTCTACCCCCGTGAATAATATAGATCACCCTATTCTATAGGGCATACTGACAGAATCCTTGCTCATTTTTAGACTGATAAGTTGCAAATAATATTCTATTTCCTCATGAATTGAAGGAGGCTGAGTGCTAACAAATTAGCTGAAACGTGTTGAGTGCAATGAGAGGTACAGATGAGGGGTTTTATAAATTACCCTTTATAATTTTAGAGAAATAACTGGAAGTCAAGTTAATGAGATTAAATGGAATCTTTTTTTTTTTCCTTTCCGAATCTTACTAAAAATTAAAATCAAGTGAAAAAGGCATTCACCTTAGGCTAAATATCGTAAAACCCCCTTTAACCATCGATGATTATTAAAAAAATCCCCATTTAACTTTTGAAATATCAGAAACCCAGCTTTAACTTTGAGATTTGATTAGAAAAA